CAGGGTCCCATAAAACACAGTCACTGCCACCAGGTGCGACCCACATGTGGAAAAAGCTTTGTGCCTGCCTTCGGCAGAACGCATCCTCAGGATGGCAGTGAGGATGAAGAGGTAGGAGATGAGGATGATGAGGAAGGAACTGGAGAGGTTAAATCCAGCTACCACAAACATGGATGTTTCCTTAATGAAAGTGTCAGAGCAGGAGAGCCGGATGAGAGGTGGGTCAGCACAGTAGAAGTGATTAATGGTGTTGGAGCCACAGAAGGTCAAGCGGTATGTCCACATGGTCTCCATCAGGCCACTGAGGAACCCATACACATACGGACCTGCAATCAGGCGAATACAGAGCACTTTGGACATCTTGCTGCTGTAAAGCAAAGGATTACAGATGGCCATGTACCTGTCATAGGCCATTACAGCTAACATATAAAGTTCAGTGATCGCCATGGCAATGAAAAAGTAGCACTGGACTAAGCAAGCAGCATAAGAAACGGTTTTCTTCTCTGATACAAAGTTCACCAACATCTTGGGAGTCACATTAGTGGAATAGCACAAATCCAAGCAGGACAAGCTGGCAAGAAAGAAGTACATGGGGGTGTGGAGGCGTGAATCTATCCTGATCAACACCATCATCCCAAGGTTCCCGCGATCATCCCAAGGTTCCCCCCCACAGTAATCAAGTAGATCACCAGGAACAGCACAAAGAGGGGCGGTTGAAGCTCTGGACGATCCGTTAATCCCAAGAGAATAAATTCAGTCACCAAGGTGCAATTTCCTCTGATCATTTTCTTAGGTACCAGCATTGTTCACTTAGATGAATTAAAATGAATAAAGGTGAATGAAAAGTCCATCAAATGCCTTTCTCTCTTTCTCTTATTCTCCTTCTCTGTTTTTATTCCTCTCTCATTCACCCTCACATGGCTATTGTTAGGGAGAGTCTGAGAATACAGGGTGTATAATGTGCAGTTAATTCCTAAAGAGAATGGCTCCTGTGCCATCATCGTGTTTTACAATAGGGGAAATTACGACCCAAGGTTTGTCTGCAAATGGATTGAACCACCAACTGCGTCTTACAGTCTACTGTAAAATCATAGGATTCTCCTAAAATTTGTGCCCGGGACTGGTCCCAGACAAAATGAGAGCATGTGTTTGGCAAATGTTTTTGCAGTCACTAACAGTATATGCACATTTAGAGGCTCCACTTTTGAGAATTTAATTTCCTGTGTGCTGTCTTAGAAAGCCCAGAATTATAGGGATTGGGAGGAAATTCTCTGGGTTCTTCTCTTACTGCTATATCCGTAAGATACAAGAGAGTATCATTCCTACATGTGAATAGAACAAAGACAAGATCCCCAAATTTGAAACAACAAAAGCCTGGATGAATTAGCAATGAAGGGATTTTCAGTTAGAAGAGTTAGTATGAATAAAACAACAGAGACATGGATTAAAAAAAAAGAGAAGTCTTCAAATCTTAAATCTGAGCTTTATTTGCTTCTCCATTTTTTTTTTCATTTATCCCAGAAAGCATTTAAAGGGTTTACAGAATATATGAAATTTAGCAAATGTGTGCTGCTGGTAGAACATAAATTTGACTTTAAGCTTTCTAGAGCTTGTGTAAATATTTCAACCCTGCTTATCATAATATTATAATGTTCAGAATTATAAAACAAAAACTAACCGAGAGAGGAAATTATCCTTAGTACAGAGTTCAAACAATATTAATTATAATGAACAGATTATACTTTCAGATAATGTTGTCAGTTGAGATAGTATCAATTATAATGAAAGAATGAAATGGGAAGCTATTGTCCTGGGATTCTAGAGAACATATTTTCATTATGGATTCTCAGTGGTGTCGTGTGTTATTGTATAAGTGGTACACTATACGAGATAAGTAATCCAAACTCAAATGCCTTTGGAAGCCATTCAGACAATGAGTGAAGTGTTCTGGGTGTGGATCAACTGAAGTGAACAAGAGAGTAGTCCCAGGTTAAGGTACCAGCAGCCACTCAGGCCAATAGAATATTTGCTATATGGTAACACAGGTACTGGGTTCTAAGATCTTAAGAGGTTTCAGTTTCATACATCAGATTCATTATTTTCACATGACATCTACCAAGGATAGTGTTAGCAATTAAATTGAGTTTTAAACCTATCCTTAACCAAGGCAAAAAACAGAAGTCTGTAGTTTTAACATACCAAGATAAAAATAGCAATTCCATGCAATGCCAATGTCACCAATTATATACTTCCAGTGTCTCAGCTGTTCCTGGAAATTGGATCAAGTACCCTCACAAGTTCGCTGCTTTGACTTTGTGATGTTTTCGAGATGCTGTACGGTTTAGTCGTTATAATCAGATGACCTTTGTGCACAACAGCATTGAACATTCCGTGCATGCGAGTTGCTTTAAGTGATAAGAGTGCTTGCCTTGAAAGAGCTGGTTGGTCTTCATGGTAAGGAGCATGAAAATCAAAGTTAAATGTGACTGGTTCAGTAATAAAAATTTGAACTAAGTACCTAAGGCGTATTCAGGAATCAGGATAGGCATCAAAGAGCAATAACCTTTAACTGCGGCTTTAAGAATAACTAGGAATTTTCTAGAAGGACAAAAGTGAGGAGAACTTTCAAGTGGTGTGAACAGTGCATGTAGAGATTTTTCTTAGAAGGCTTTCAAGAGAAATCAAAGATATGCATCATAGATGCAGGGACAATTTTCTATCGTGGCAATTTTAAGAAGAGATAAGCAGCCCAACAAACTCAAAGTCCCCATCACAGGCCAAGAAGTGTGAACACCCTGAAAGCTATAAGGTGGTAGCATATCTTTGAATTTGTTTTTGATGTTGCTTTGGATTGTGTGTGCATACATGTGTGTGTCACACACAAGTGATGGTGATGTTAGAACTGACATGGTCTGTTATTTTGAAATAGTAATACTTTTGCCTTTGGGAGGAAAAATGAAGTAATCAGAGAATCAGGATTCATGTCAACAGTAACAGGTGCTCTTTTCTCATTCCCCAGCAGGGCGGATCACTGTGGAAAATATTTACCTTAGTACATGTAAACCTTCTGCTTTAATGGCATAGAGATGTTCATCTAATCTTTAAATCTGTGCAATGTAATGTAAACACTATCACCTGTTTAGTCATTTTACTTAACAAATAATGAAGACAAAAATAAAGAAAATAAAAAGAAAAAAGATTAGAATTTAATTGCCTACTTCTTACTCTCTTTTTTAAATAAATGCAGTAATTCACCTCTGCAAAGCTGTATTTTTTTTTTCCTTTTTGTCTTTTTTCGTGACCTGTAATGGGATCGCAACCCTCGGTGTCGCGCCCGCACCACACTCAACCAGTGAGCGGACCAGTCTCTATATGGGATCCGAACCCTCGGCGGGAGCGCCGCCACGCTCCCAAGCGCTGCACTCTACCGAGTGCACCACCGGGCCGGCCCCAAAGCTGTATTTTGATAATAACACCGCCTCCCGTGCAAATAGGCAGTTCAGTTTTACAAAGCACTCATATTGCTTCTTTTTTGTTTTACCTTTAGAAGAACTCTGCAGCTGATGTGGAGCAAGCACGATTGGGAAAGAGGGAAATGGGGCACAAATAAACATTAAGCTTGCTGTAAGGCGAGTTTTTAGATTAGTATTTTCAAAACTCCTCTCAGCAGAAGCGCTGGATATCAGGCAACAAAATAGATCTAAAAATATGTCTGGAAAGCTCTGGGTTTTGAAACAAAAAAGGTAAAATAGGTTTCTGTATTGCCTCACCTCAGAGACTTTTCTGTGGACACGTGCATTGTGAAGCTACAGAATATATGAAATTTAGCAAATGTGTGGGCGAGATTTAGAAGGTGGGCGAGAACAGGTAGCAATTCCCAAGCTTACTTATTTAAAGACCCTAAAGCATATCAAGTTTTCTCTTTAAGCTAAAAATTTCTAATTTCACACTGAGCAGCATGGAATGCTAGAATCCTTGAACTTCAACAACTAAACAAAATATAAGGAAGTAAGATATACTCTGCACTACAGGTGACTCTTGGACAACACAGGTAAGAAGTGTATGGGTCCACTTATTCATGAATATTTTTCAGTAAATGTATTGGAAAATTTTGGTCAAGAATATCATGAATTTATGGCATATACCTATCCAGATAATTAAGTAGCATACCTAACTGTAGGCTATTAGTAGACAGTTAGTAGTTAAGTCATTCAGTAGTTAAGTTTATGGGGAGCCAAAAGCTATAACAGGATTTTTGACTGGGGCAGGGTGGTGAGGCATTGTCCGGTGCCTTAAACCCTGGGTTGTTGAAAGGCCAACTGTACTAGGGAAAGCACCTTCATTCAGTAGTGGCACTGGTAAGGTATTAATGCACTTGAATTTATCATTGATTTATGTTGTCCAAAAAAAAAAAAAAAAAATCTTGATGTAATTACTGAGCATGGAAGATGAACTCCATAAATGGAGAGAGAATAGAAATAGGCAGAAAATTAAAAAGCTTTGAGGGAAATAGAATAGAACATGACAACAGAGCTCTGCACATCAATCACAGGTGGACACAAATCTGTTTTGCTCTCAAACGTGCAATCTGTACAATTAATTCTAAATACCAGCAACTGTTTGCTTATCATGTATTTAACAAATAATAACAGTTGCTTATTAAGTGTCTAGTTGGGGTAAGGCATATGTCAAATTACCATATATATGAATGTAGCCCATGAGACAAGTTCCAAATATTTGAAATACTCTCATAGAATTTGCAGGCATTTTAACTTTTCTCTTTTGAATTTTTTACCTCCCAACTAGCCAGTCAATTCATGAAAACACTTAATGAAAATTGTTTTTTATC